ATTCCTGCTTTCTGTGAGTTTCAGAGAGCCCCAAAAACTTGTGCAGGCATCAAGGCCAAGGTGCTGTTGGACCTGTGGGGATCTACACTGCCTGGAGACTCTGCTCCCCGAGGAGGAAGGAACTCGCTGCAAGGTTATTTCCCTGTGCACCTTTACCCTGCCTGCAACCCGTTTACCACCACACTGTATCACATGGTTTCTTATCTACCTTGACAGAGGCAAGGCTGTAATTTGTCTACTAGCGGCGCCGTGCAAAAGACGCCCTGCCCAGGAGTGCCACGCAAAAGCAAATCACTCCTTGCTGCCTGCTGTGCCAGGGTTCGAGCAGAGACCCGCACTCGGGGCTCGATCCATCCAGGTCTCCCAGGGTTTCAGAGACAACTCCCTGCAGAGAACCTGTTTTACCAGCCACTCTCCACCAGTCAACAACTCCTCCAACACTGGTGGAGGAGGTGAATTACCTTGGGCTGAGTGGGAGGAGGCTGGCTCCCAGGGATCCAAAACAGTCATTAGAACACCTCCGTCTGGGAGCAGTTCAGCCTTTTCCAAAGAGCATGGGAGGGTCCCCAGCTTCTTTCAGCCTTTTCTGGATGTCTTGGATTGAGCCGTCATGGCCTCCCCATCCTTATGAGCTTTGCTGCAGTAGAGAGCACTCACAAAGTGTCAGAGGAAGTGGCTGAAGCATGGGGGTGTCCAATTTTTGGGTGCTGAAGCCCTGTGCCAGAGGGGAGCTGTGCACCCAGGCTCATCCCATGCCTGGACCCAGTCCACCAAACCTATCGTCCCCCCCGGGCTGGTCCCAAGACCCCACCCCCCGCTATACTCGCACAGGGCAGCACTCTCCTTCAAAGGGCAGGTGTGAAGGCAACGGGAGGACTGTCTTATCGGGATGACGGGGCACCCAGACACAGCAGAGACAGGTCTAAGCCTGGTTTTTACCTGGGGCCCCGGTGCAGAGCGTGCCCAGAACCCCAGTGCTCCCGCTGCTGGGGACAGCTGGGCAGCTATCACGGTGGATGCCTAGAGAAAAAGTCATCCAGGACCCTCTGAGTACAAATTTGGTCTCTGATCCTGGTGAGATACACCCCTCTGCCAGCCCGAGGGACTGGTTATAAGGCTGGGCTTGCCATGCATGCCTCCAGCCCACAGGGGTGTGTCCAGGACCTGAGCAATCAAAGGAACTATTTTAATCCAAGGTTCCTGATTAAAATCCCATTTCTAAAAGCTGGCCCTGTCAAATGAGCCGTCCTTTCCAAGCAAGGCTCATTCTCTGTTTTAGTTTCTTCTTTCAGTAACCAGTTGTCTTTCAGGTGTTTTCATACATATAGAAAATTCAGCGAGTTGTGACATAAGGAAAAAAAAAAAATTACTTAAATAACCTTGCAAGTATCCTGCTAATTGCTGACAAACTATATATAGCAGTTCAGCATCAGCAAGCTACTATAAAGCAATAAACCTTTCTGATTAATGCACAGTGAGCACTTTACTCGCAAAACTCATTGCCAAAGGATATCACTGAAGCATAGGACTTAACAGGATTTTTAAAAGGATTAGATTGAACGTAGTGAAAGAACACCCCCAGCTAGGATCTACACGGCAAAGGAATATAAAACCTCACAGTTTGTGATTCCTCTTATTATTAAGATGAAGAAATTCTAGACAGGTATTTAGTGGCTGGGGATTACGCAGAGGACGAGCCTCGATGACACTCACCCCTCACACTCCCCCAGTCTTTACTTTCAGCTCAGAGACCTTTTGAGCTGGACATGGTTTCCTCTTTATTTAAGACCCCTCAGTGGGTTTCTTCTCCATGGATTTGCCCTGTTTCCCTCAAACACAGGAAAATTGTTAGTATAAAAAACATCCTTCAGCAAGGAGTTGCCCAGGTCCATTCCCCACTGCTGGAAAAGCTGCCTCCTCTCCTTCAATTTGGATGAGGTCCTGCTGAGCTGCTTGGCAGCACAAAGCATTGTTCTGTCTTGGTTTGAGATTTTTGCTGCCACAGAGCCTTTAGCTCATGTTTTCCCTGATGTTCCTCATGATTTTTCATGTTCACCATAATCCCAAGCTATCACTCCCAAGTAGGCAACAGCCAGCCCAGAGCCCATCATCTTATATACTAAGTCATGCTAGATTTTTCCCTCTGTGTGTCACTTTATAATCCTCCAATCATCCCTTGCTATTTTATCCCCAAACCCCAAGCCCTGCAAGATCCTTCCAAATGTCTGCATCATCAGTCTTCATCTCTAGTATGCTGAATATGCAAGAATTATCAGCAGAGCTTGTTATCTCACCATTGTTTCCTATCTGCTAATTGATTATTTACCTCTGCTTGGACTTTCCCTCTTAGCCGTGGCTGTCCTAAAGGTCTTTGCTTCTGGAAATCCAGGAAAACTCTTATCTACCAGGTCTCCCTTATCCACAAGCTCATTGATGCCTTCAGCGAAAGCCAGTCGCTTTGTGAGACTGGACTTCCCTTTACAAAAGCTATTTTGGCCACCATGAGCTCATCACCGAAGCTCAGACCAAGCTGCACGTCCACAAAGCTGAAGGTAATGAAATTAGGCAGGGGCGTGAGTCCACGCAGGGAATGGATGCTCAGGGGAACCCATCTGACATTTATCCAGATCCGCTCTACGCACCAGGCTGTCGTATCTGCTGTCCCAGATCTACGGCCAGGAGAGGAAAGCTATGTGCTCTTGGCCGAGGGAGTTGTGCCAAGGGACTCTGCTGCGTGCAGGTAAGGCTCTAGTGTAAAACCGCACTTCTCTTCGGGTACCCGCTTTGCCCAGGGGTGGCTTTCCAGCCGCTTCGCAGGAGGGCTCTGCTGGCAGACCTGCATGCCTGAGGAGCTCAGGGAGGCCAGATCTTCATCTGATGTGGCTCAGCAGAAGACACCCATTTATACCCGCTGAGCAGCTAGACCAGTATCAGCAGGGATTTTTTTTCCCTTGGGAACAGTGTCCTGTGTCTCATCCCAATGCAGAGCCTGTTTCTTTGGCTACAGGGCAGTGGAGAGCTTCCAGTTTCCACAGCTGTGCTGTAATTAGGGCATTCCTCAACCTCACCCCAGGGCCCAGTGGTGAACCCTCCTCCTCCACCCTTTTTGCCTGTGCCGGTCCCCCAGCATCAGCCCCGGCTCAGCTCCTCCCTTGGCTCCACAGGCTCATCCCTGCCATGGTGCTGGTGGTGGAGCAGAGTCAGCAGCATCATCTGCCCAGGCTTCCCCACTGGGCTGGGGTGTGGGGTTCAATGGCCAGGAAAAGGGGGTTTTCACCCTTGTTCAGCTGCCATCCCATCGCTGCAGCGGTGCAACAGCTCACAAAGGTCCCACCAGCAAACACTTCAAAAAGTTCCACTCCCCCTCGCACACGGAGGCCTCCCTGCATCCCCATGCTCGTGCTCTGCAGGCACTGGGATGGTCCAGGGCTGTCTTTCCCCAGCTACAATTCCTTCAGCTTTTGGAAACTTGTGCAATGCACTAGGAACTGATAGTACAGAGATACCTCTGCTGTGCAAAGAAGACAGAAAGTGTCTGAGATTCATGTGTTTGCTCAGAAACTGAACAAAACCCAACCGTAGACTTTTCTGTTTTCTGTAGGAAAGGAATAACCATTGTTCAAATGGCCTTGCACCTAGCTAGCAGAGGGCTTTTTTTTCATTTATAATTTAACTTTCCTAAAAAAAAGAAATAGTTTGGACAAATCTTGGTTCAGAAATGCCACCGTGGTACCCCACAGATGCTGTAGTGTCCTTCAGGTTCCCATTCTCCTCTGCAGATTGGCCTCCTCAGTAGATGCCATCTCTTGTGATGCCCCAGGTCTAATGGTGAAGAACCATGGACATCCCCCAAAAGTGGTGTCCACAGAAACTTTTCAGGTCATGGGTAGAATGAGTGTGACTCATTGCCAGCAGCTGTATGGCAGACTGCATCCCTCAAAGCACATTAAATTAGTTGCAATTAATGAGAAATCCCCTCTGATGTGAGCAGTGAGAGGGCTCAGGCCACAGCAAAGGAAGACAGACAAGAAGGATGTACCCGGCTCACACCAAGTGCTGTACCCCAACCCAGCCCCGTTCCTCCCTGGGGCTGCCGGGCACGAGCCTGGAGGGCTGCAGGAGGGGAAAATGGAGGTGAAGAAACCTATTTCTTCCCATTTTATGCAGGGGACACACAGGACCCGCAGTGATGGCTCCCGGGGTGATGGGTGGTTATGCCTTAACCCTGCCAACGTGGCGCAGTTGCCTCCGGGTCGCCTCCTGTGCAGCTGCAGCCGCGGGGTTCGGTCCTGCACCTGCAGCACTGTGGAGGCCATGGGGGGCCGTGGGGGGTGATGTTTAACCTTTAACACCAGGGACTGCAGCCTGGCATTAACCCCACGCAGGGCAGGGTGCTGCAGTGGCCTTCAGAGGCCGTGGGATAAACTTCACCCCTTCCCACACCGGCATTGTCCATCGCCACTAATCCTCCTCCCCTTCCTCCCTTTGCAGGTCCAGCCACCAGCTGAGCTGCAAATATGCTCAGGGAAATATTTGGGCACAGTTCAGGTGTCTCTAGGCATGACCAATTAGCAAGGAGGTTACAGAGCATCCTAGGAAAGGAAGGGACCATTTTACAACAAACTAGCAGGGATATTTTTGAATGGCCACATCAGACCAAGCCCTTTGCATCTCCTTCATTGCAGTTTTGCCAGAAAAACCTTTCTGGCAGAAAATCATTGGGTTGATTAATACTTTTTTCTACTGTCCAATTTAATTTGCAATTTCTGCAATTTCAAGCTTCCAGCATGTTGCTTTGCTTTGCTTTGGGGGCTCTTGGCTGCAATGGAGCAACCTGGAGGATGGTAGGGACAGGGCTCTGCTCAGTTCAAGGAGACAGGACTGACTCATGCAGTTCTTCTGGAAATAAATACAATTTCATTAGTGACTGCTCCAGCATCAGCTTCTCTCCCTAAGAAGAGCCTTGCAAGTCCCCCATTTGAGCTGAATTTTCAGTAAAAAGGGGTTACTGTAGGGTTTCCTTCTAATTCAGAGTGAAGAAATTGAGATTATTGTCACGTAGGAGGGAAGCAACAGTGCGACCACAGAGGTGGTGCAAGGGAAGTCAGGCGCATCCTGGGATGAAAGGCTTAACCTGCTCCTTTACCAAGCGGAGAGCTGGGCTCCCAGCTGGCCCAGAGCCACAGAAGCAGCTCCAGAGCGGAGGTGGAGGAGAAGACTTGGCTCCCAGTCCTCTGATCCAACCAGGATCCAACCTTGTGCGGACAGCTGCATTTTCCCCTAGAGATTCAATCCCTGTAAAGAGATGGGGAGTTTCCATGTTTCCAATAAAACTGAGATCCATAAAACTTTGTTTTCCCATGACTGATCAATGTGGTTTTCCACCAGAGAAGGGTGAAAGCAGGACATGGTGACTAGGGAGCATTGTACTTTGAAAAAGTAGGGGAATTTGCAGAGCAAGGACTTCTGGGGTTGGGTTTTTCTCCCCCCCTCTCAATCTAAACCACAAGGCAGCCATGCAAAGTCATCTATAGCCTACGATGAGTGCACGTGGGCTCTGTAACCTCGCTGAGTATGCCCCGGCTGGCTCTTACTGTGGCTGCAAAGACATGCTGGCAGGCCCTGAGGTTTTGCTCTGCAGCAGTTTCAGGTGTCTTGGTGCACAGGATCTGACGATGAGCTGGGCACGGGCACAGGCTGGCTGCCAAGCACCGACCGGAGCCTGGTCCCACAGCACCCAGCACCCATATTGCCTTTCATCTCTCTACCATCCCCCCCTGCCCAACAAACACCCCCCCCCTTTTTTTTTTTTAATTACCAAATTAGCGTAATTGCACTAAGCTCAGAGCAACTATTCTCAACCTGGATCTGGCTTGCCATTTTCTGCTTCTGTTCCAGGTCTGAAGAAGGCTTTGTTTCCGTGAAACCTCTCTTGCATTTTCCAGCTATACCAGTTGGTCAGGTAACAGTTATTACCTCTCCCTACACACCTTTCTTCCTCTGCCAGGATCGCTGCCGAGTGCGTGAGTTCCCTCTGGGGATAGCGTGCACGGCGAGATCCCAGGACACTGCCTCGGCGTGGCTCCCACTCGGGCAGTGAGCTCGGAGGGGCGAGACCCCAGCCGATTCCTTCTGCCTCCTGTGGCAGGTTGGGCCGTGGTGGCATCCTGGGATCTCGCCACGCATGATCTCCAATCACCTCCAAGAGAAGAGTCACTTCGCAGGCCTGCGCCTGCCAGGAGCACGTCCCAAGGCGCACAGGGTGAGGACAAGTGGTCAGCAAGCCCTGGTGCCATGCTAGGCTGTGGCTGCTCGGCCAAATTAAGCTTGGAAAGGAAAAAGTGTGTGGAAAAGGCTCTGTGTGCTGTGCAACTGCTCCGGTCATGCAGGGAGTGGTCCTAGCCCCAGTTAGTGGGATGCTGATGGGGATGGAGGGTCAGGTGGAAAGACAAAGACTGAGCATCTGTGCTTGCTGAGGGAGCAAATGGGTATTTTCCAGCTGACAGCCACCTCTGATCGAATCCTAATTTTGGGAAGAGTTTTCATATTGAGTCTTAAATTCTCTGTGAAGAGGCTGCTGGGTGCTGTGGCAGCCCAGGTGCTAATGACCATGCTAGAAATAAGTGTTCACATCAGTCGCCACCTGCCCTAGCCCTCTTTGCCCAGGGACAAAAGTGAGCGGTTCAGCTCAGTATCCCTGAACTGGCCAAAGGACAGGATGTGATACCCAGAGCACTCCAGCTGTCCAGCCGGTCTGGAGCCCAAACCCAAACCCACCTCCCTCTGATGGCTCTCCCTCACTCGCACTGCCGGCCACTGGGCTACCCGAGTCTGCTGCAGAAGGTCCTGCAAGAGCCAACCGCATGGGGCTGCCTTTTTCTGTCCCTAAAGAAATGCAACATTTTTCTGGGAACATTGAGCTCTGTTGGAGACCACACACTTTTTGATGTTGTTTCCTTCCAGCCTTTGTGCCCACCTGGGGACCTGCACTTTGCCTCGAGTTTGTAGCATTTTCTTTACTTTACAAGCTCACTACACAGGGACAGGGGTGTGCAGCAAACACGGTGGCACAGGTGGCACAGGTTTGAAACCATGGATGCGGCGATTCCTCTGGGTACCTTGGGGACATGGACAAGGCACTGCTGCAACCACCAAGAGCACTCCATGGGGGCTGAGCCTCAGCATCTCCTGAAGTGCAACCAGGCAGAAGACCCAATTTCACGCAAATTCTCACCAATTCTCCCCTCTGGCCCTGCTCTGGGGATGAGCTGGCACATTCCCAGCTGCTTGCATTCAACCAGCTGCAGTTTGGGGAGCTGTGATATAGAAAATGATAGGACTAGTGGGGAAGCGCAAGCCGTTTGGCCTGAAAGATGGATTCATCTCATACTTTCCTGAAACATTGCTTGAATTAAGCCTTGAAATGGGGCTGCCCCAATTCCCACAGCTCTGGTGCCTGTGATGGGGCAGCTGGTGGGAGAGTTGTTGCCTGGGTGAGCAAGCTCTGAAGGCTTTTCCAAAAGCAGAGGAGAAGGAGGGGTGGGGGGAGCCAACAGACAGCCATCTCCGCACTGAGACCCAAGCCTTGCTGGTGCATTGTCAGAGCCCGGCGAGGGCTGCGGTACATGGGAGGGGAGGGGGTGGCCCATGAACGGGGCTGGGGGTCTCAGCAGAGCTGTTGGGGCACCAGGGACACCAGGGAGCATCCTGGGGGGCTGGAAGAGATGAGCCCAAAGCAAGTCTGATCCCAGGGTGTGCTGCTGGCCTGAGCGCCGGCACAGGGACGTTGGAGGGTGGCAGGAAAGGACCAGGGTATCTTCCCCACCGGGCTGTGGACCCACACCTGCCCCTGGCCAGTGCTCCCACAGTGACGAGCCCACGCGGCGCTCTGCCCAGGACACCATCCTTTAATACACGTGCGACCGCGCAGGTACATCTCAGGCTGCACCCACCAGAGGATGGGGGAGTGGGAGGGCCAGCAGCCATCTCCGGGGCCTCTCTGCAATGGTGGGAGGGGAGGGATGGCCAGCGACCCCTTGGAGACAGCATGGCCCGTGCAGGTGATACTGGGGAGCCGCTGTGCTGGGGCCGTGCGGGAGAAGGGCTGATTGCAGTGCTGAAAGAAAGAAGCTCAGACCTCCTTCCCACATAGTTGTCCACACGTTTCAGCTCAGTGGTGAATTCAGGGTAAGGGTGTAAAGAGCACGGAGGGGCAGCAAGGGAAAGGGAGGCAGGCAGCAGGGGTGGGGAGGCTCTTCTTCCCGATGCTCCTGTGGGAAAGAAACAGAGCAGAGCAGTGGGGCAAAAGAGGAGTTTTCAGGCTGCTGAAAGCAGCCCGAAGTTGGTGCCAGTGATGCCCGTGCTGCACAGGATGAGCGTGGCATGGACAGCAGACCCTGGAGAGCCGGGGAAGACAAGCTCGGAGAGAGGGATAGATGCTGGCAGGGGCTCCATGGCAGGGACGTGCGGGACAGGCACCCATCCCAACTGTGGGGTGGGAGATGGGGCATGTGATGCCATTCTCTGTAATGAATGGAGGTCATTTCTGCATTTGCCCAGCCACAAGCACAGATCAGGGATGCTGCAGGGAGCACGAGGCATCACCGGGAAAGGAGGACCTGTCCCCTACCTCTCACTGGCCTGTGGGGGACTTGGCAGCATCGAACATCTTCTTTCGCCCCTCCATTCCTGACATGGCCTCCACGTTCTTGCGCCAGTCGCCCACTTCCACAGGGCGCTCCTGCCGGGAGGGACGGGGACAGGGGTTGCGATGGCCATGTGACAGGGGGACCAGCAGACCCACGCTGTCCCACCCCGTTGCACAGAGCCCTTGGCCCTGGGGCGCAAGCAGCACAGGGAAGGCAGCTGCCCTGTTGCAAACACCCTCTCCACTGGAGCCAGCTCTGCCGTGTGTCCCTGCATGTGGAACTGACCAGGAAGATGGCAAACAGCAATCTGATCTCCACAGGGAGGGCTGGATTCATGTGGATACCCCCCCGCCCAAAGCCTCGCTAAGTTGCATTAATGCACTAGAAGGCACAAAAATCCCAGAAAATTTCTTTAGGAGGAAGAAACCAGCACATGGGACTTACTCGGGATTGAAACCAGCACACCGGGGCAAATGCAAGCAAAACCACTTTCTGCATAGACCTCCCAGCCCACATAAAACCCATCTCCACCTTGACCAAACTTTTGGAGGGGACTGGGATTGCTGGTGTCACAATGAGAGCCTGGCAGCTGCAGAAAGGGGAGATAATGGCAGCTCTGGGAGCATGCCCAGGTGTCTGCTCTGCTAACCCACAAGCATTCATAGATT